TGGGTAAGTCTTCTCATATTGCGGTCGGAATAAGTATTCAATTTCACTGCTTGACCTCCATGCTCAAGATATCTTTTTGGTTCTGCAGCTGCAGAACTCGTGTATCCTGGATTCTGATTAAAAATGCAAAGAGCATCCTAATTTCAGTGGTTACAACTCAATAATAAAATTCAGCTGATTTGAATAAGAATTAACTCAACTAGGATCCTGACTTAATCATCAAGTCATAAATGGCAAAAAAAGTCCTTTCACTTTTTCCAAAGGAGGTCTAACAAGATTTAAACGTGCTTGGATAGGAGATTATTTGAAATAATTACTGTAGCACTTTGGTGGTTTAATGTATGTGAGATAAAAAGATGTGTTGGAAATTGTGTTTGTGATGCAAGCAAATAATTTTTTGCCAAATCATGGTTATCCAAAGAGAAGAGAGTGGAAGACGAAATATCATATAGGGAGGGGAGAAAACTTCTCCTGTTTTAGCCAGCAAAGATATTCCTGTTATATTCAAAAGAAGCAATGTGAAAAATGCACACCTCTTTCTTCTTGTCCTTTTTTCTCTTCACTTCATGAAATGGATCTGAAGAAGAGATTTGACAAGTTAAGCAATGTTTTTAGCAATAATCAAGGAACAAAAAACCTTTACATAAGGCAAACCCACAAAAATGGATTCATAATTGTTAAAAAGAAATGAACCAGAAGGTCATCAAAGAAAAGAGTTTGAGAAAAATATTAATAACCACCAACAGAGTGCAGCACATCAACCACAATGGAAAAGCACAAAACAAAAAATGTGTATAAAGCAACTGAACTGTGGTGCACAGGAAGAAAAATAAAAAATAAAATTAACATTTAAACAAAAAAAACTGTTTATCTGCAAATTTCCATATTTAGACCAGGAATTACTAACAAAGACTTTAGAATTGAATTGTGCATAAAACACTAGAAACCAAAGAACCAGGCAATAAAAAAAAAGAAAAAAAATGCCCCACTAGATATCTTGATCATCCACCTAACATGATTATAATGCCTGATACTCCAAACTCTTTCTACTCATTTGATCAGATGAAATTTGACAAAAGCTGGGGACGAATAGCTTTTTGGCATCTTTCAATTGAACATGGATTTTAGCGTTTCGACACCCAACTGCTAGGTTGCCTAAAAAGCAATAGGGCTGCACAAGCTCCCCAAGTGCTGCGACCAAAGGGGCCTTAAAGTACATATAAAATTGACACCGCAAGTGTCAATATTGCTAACCGAAGAAACATCAAAAAACTGAGAAGAAAAAAAGGGCCATAAATTCACTTCAGCAACTAATTTTGCCAATGACAAAATCACTGCAAACTTAACACTATTAAGAAAACACAAAAGAAAAAGGAAACAGGCAAAAAAGGGTAAAACAAGCCAAAGAAAAGGTAGAAGAAGTATAACACAATGAGGGCATGATTAAAATAAGCCAAAAAGAAAGGACCTTGATAAAGCAATTTTTGAGCAGCGTCGTTAGGATCCATATTGGTCTCTTTAAGGGCAGCATATATGTCACCATCAGTGTGATTGCCCACTATTTCTTTGATTGATTGAATGGTTTTCATCAGCCCTGCCGATACAATTTGCGTCGTCCCTCCTCCATCGATTCTCGCACCGGAGACCATCTCAATCAAATTATAGAGTCAATATATATATGTATACTGTTATAGTATTTTGTAGTAGTACGAATTAGAAAAATGTGCGTATAGGTACGATATGACAAAAATGAAAACCCTAGATTATTTCACCCACTGGAGACAGAAAGGAGAACGGATGTGGTTTTAACTTTTAATTGAAGACGAAGGGTTTTGTGTTTTAAAAGATATATTGATGAGTTGAGAGAGAGAGAGAAGGGAAAGGCAAAGCTGAGAACGGCTGATTAGATGACAGGGGCTGGGGCTGGGGCTGGAGAGAAGGAGATACATAGAGACGGAGACGGGTGGGAAATAAGGGGGTTTGGGAGCGAGGGTTTTGGACACGTTTTCATATTTTCAGTTCTCAATTTTTAGGGCTTTACAGTAACAGCATGACACTGCGTTGCTTCCAATCCAAAATTGGCCATAATTAGTGCCAAAAGAAAATTACGCAAATACAAATTCAGTTGAGAACAGAATCAAAACCAAAAGCTTATTCGAGCTTGTAAATCAAAAATTACCAAAGTGGTGATCTTTATTCATCCTCGGTCATTGTTACATGAGGAAATATGAATTAAATTGATTAAGATTTAGACTGACTGAATTTCAATTTTCGAAAAATGTATGTTTGTATTGATGATTATTTGTAAAAAAAAATATTTTCATAGATACGCTTTTTAATCATTTTCTTTTTCGCTTTTTGAACCTCATTTTTGTCTCGCATATATCATATTACGAAAAGTACTATCATATTATTCTGAATAAATTTTCTAAATAATCTCTTATCTAAAAATTTTGGAAAATGTAATTCTACTTAATTATAATTTTTACAAATAATCTTCTATCCATACAAATTTTTATCTCACAAAATTATGACTTTATCAAAAAAAAATCTAGATACATGTAGGGCTGTCAACAGGTCAGGTTTGGACCCGGACCCAATAGTTTTTTAGAGATATAGATTAAGCAATAATTTCATTACCCGAACCCGAATCCGGATCCGTTTACTCTCATAAAAAAACAGGTCTGATACAGAATATATGATTTCGATTCGTATTCGACTCGGACCCGTATATCCGTTTGGATTAGCTGTTTTTGGGGATATTTTTGAAAAATTTTGCTGTAGCAAAGTTTTAAGATTATATTTTGGGATACTTAAGAGTAGAAGAGTTTCTAAAATATATTTTGAAATAATTTTTAAAATTTTAAAAAATTTAAACAAATTTTTAGATTACCTTTTAGAGTACTTTTTAAAATTTTTTATTGTATTTGAAAAACTAGTTTTTAAAAAGCAGTTCCATCCAAACATTATCCTTTACCAAATTAACAAATCCTAATCTTGTTGAGGCCATATTTTTAAATACAATAATATTTCTAAATACATTATTTTTGTTGGGTTTTATTTTTTTAGGTAGACTCGGATCCGATCTGGGATCCGTGGACCCGATTCTGGAACCCTAAGCACAAGATTCATTGTGTATACGGGTTGGGTACGAATTGGCACATTATAACGAGTCTGGGTTCGGAATTTTTAATTTTGACCCGTTGACAACCCTAGATACATAGTCTCGTTCATATTGCAATTTTTTTATAGTTTTTATTTAAAAAATACATATGTGAGGTAGAAGAGGTTGTTGAGAAATGTGTAAGGAAAATTTTCCAAAAAAATGTAGCAATCCAAATATGCTGATTTTCTCTTGAAAATAATAAACCTACTTAATAGGTGATCATGCAAATACGTCTCCAAACCTTTGTGCAAAAGCAAAAGAAAGTCGAAAATAATTTTTTAAAAAAGTGAAAAAAAGGAAACGCTCGTTGTATGCTTACAGAGCGATCAAAACTTGCATGGGCCAAGTGGATCCTGTTGGTTGTTTTACTAGTCATTCAGGCAGCGAAGACTACAAAAACAGACTTCTATTGGAGCAAAGAGCCTGGTCCAAAATCCACTTGCCCAAAATGGACATGCCCTACGTTAAAATATGCGTATATTGGCAGAGTACAGAATTACTGGCGGAGTCTTCTTATATTTTTCCTTTACTCGGAGAAGCTTCTTGCGGTCTGCTTCTGCCTGCTATAGTATCAGATATTTCTTCAAATATGGTAGTAGTAAACAGCATTTACTCCGTGAATTTTCATTTGATTTCAAATCTTTCTAAATAGAGTTTTTTTTTTCCAGCAACGATACATTATATAACCTACTCTATCCTAATCTAGGGGGAGGGAGAGCCTAAGAAGGTTTGTGTTAGGGGTTAATGGGTATACAGACCCAACTAAATTAAGGGAGTGCTATGATACTACCTTTAGATTTTTTTTTGCTGCAGGTGAGGTTTGAACTCTCACCTACAATCCAATGAGGGATTTAAGTCTCTCTCTTGTGGCCACTGAGCTAAGCTCAATGATTTCTAAATAGGGTTTGCCTTGACAAACCATTATAGCATGACCCGCCTATTTTAACTTTCACGAACTCCTTTGTCCTATGACATTTTGCTTCTCAATTTGAATCTACCTCGCTGTTAACTCTAATGTCTAATCTAAAACTGCAAGAAAGTACAAATGACACAGATGATTGTTTTCACTGAAAAAAGTACTATGAAAACAGTAAATTATACTTTTCATTTATATTTATATGTGAAAGTTAAATTTTAAATTTAAATTTTGCATAATTATTATTTATCCAACACTTACACCGTCAATCCAAAAAAGATTAATCCTTATATTTTTATATGTAGTAGTTTTTTTTTTTTTTGGTTGCTCGCCCGGTATCCGAAGTTTTGCCCCGATTAATCCTTATATTTTTATATGTAGTAGTTTAACATTAACAGTGTAGGTATAATATTCGACCAAGCCTCTAATATTTTTCACTAATTTCTTTATTTATCAAACAACTCCTTTACTAAATGCATAATGAAAACTGGACTACTTTTGCATCTCATTCGTTGTATATAATTAATAGATAAGAAAGCACTGCGTACTATTATTACTTGTGATCATTGTTGAGTGATTAGAAAGTGCTCCTTCTTGGGAGCTTAGAACATTTTTTTTTTTAAGGCAAGAACATGAGAAAGATGAACTTGTATGAGCCACGCCAGAACGCCTGTACAGCTTGGCCAAGACGTCAAGAGACCACGAGGTCATTTTGGAACTACAAAAATGTCCAGAAACAAAATTGCATAATGCCATCGCCAATGCTGAGGTACATCCCGCTACTTGCTAGGCTTGCGGTTAATTATTCGCCAATGTGTTTTACTTTTCTTGGCGCAACTTGTTGGTTTGCAGATTGAGAAATTACCGTGTTGGCGAGATACATACAGCATTAGTAAAAGTACAGCCAGAAACATTTACTATGAGTCGACTTCTAAACCACATTTTCTCATTATACACATTGGCTTCTATAAACCAACCACCACTTCAATCATTACATAAACCAATGAAATTAAAAGTAGCGCAGAGGAGGGGAAAAAGAAAAAAAAAAAAACAGCCGGTGAAGAGAAATCCAATCGCATAGACACATAACAAACCTAATTGAAGTGGCAGCATCACATATATAGCAATTTGTAGATAGATTTGACGACCAAGCAGTAGAAGAATGTAATTGTCTGCCCTCGAGGTTTATTGCTAAATTACAAGTATTGTTCTTGAATCCTGGCTCTATTTGCTTCCCACCACAATCTTGCCTGCATTTCTCCAAATCTTTCTCGGCTGCACGCAAAGAATTACAACCAAATAAGATTACAATGTCTGATGCTTCTGAATGTGAATTGCATCATCACAACCACCAGATAAATGTCCAATATTTGATCAGAAAACATATCAGGAAAAATTTAAGCCCAAAAGATTGTCCAGTCTGAGGGATGGTTCCTCTTCTTATGGACTGGTCAAATAGTGTAGTTGATCTAGGTATGCACAGCATTTGCAATGACTTGTAAGTCATCCGGGTGTTCTAGTTCAAAAAACATGGCACACAATGTTCCAACGAAGACATTTTGTGCTAAAGGCCGATTGTTCTGACAAGCAGTTCAATGTGGGTGAAAGTGTAGAGGAGAACCGCTTACCTAAATCGGACCCGTCTAAGTTCTCTGTTTCCACCTGGCAAGGCCCTGATTGTTATGTAAACCCCAGGCTCATCTTGCTCAACCCACTCGGATTCCATATCACTGGCATTGCTAACTGAGAGCTCTCCCGAGCAGTCAGCTTCTCTAGATAAACTACTCCGTGCAGAAGCATCGATGGATGATGTCTCAGTTCTTGCAGCACTGATGCTTGAAAGTTTTGGGGTTGAAGTAAGCCCCGCTGACTCGTAGTAAGTACGAGGATGCATAGGGTGGTTTTCAAGTGAATCTGACGAATAATGGCCCATCCCAAGTGCACGGTGGAAATTTCTGGGTAAGCGTTCTTTGTTTAGTGGTGGTGTTGCAGGGCTGTCTTCAGCAGATTCCATTTTTGAGATCTGAATCAAAAGAAATTACTCAACAACCAATGCCATAGATATTACATACATGAGTTGCATGCTGTGAATGGCACATAATTGCTAATGTTTACAACTGCGAATAAAAAACTGTTCAAGTTTTCATTTTTTATCTTTAACTCAATATAAAACCAAGCAGTTATTAAGCTCTAAAATACACATGTCCAAGAATACGAGGAACACGGCAAGATCACTAATAGGCCGAAAAGATGCACCTCATCTTCAGATCTTGGTGGAGTTGGCAGCGGTACTGCTTGCTGATTGAACTTCTGGACATTGTATAGCTCCATTACCTTGTCATAGTTCTCCGCCCACCATCGTTGAGCTTGCCATTTGTTAAACATCTCACGACTGACACCATCAACAAAGCAATAAGATACCATATCAGTTACATTTGACATCAAAGAATCCAGAATGTTTACCATGCAACTGATCATAACTTTCGGTCCCCAGAAAGCAAAATGATAAGGAGAAGGAATACACTATTCTATTGGGAGGGGAAGTAAAGTAACAACATTCAAGGATGTTGTGGTTGATGTCTGAAAGGTACCAAACTAGCGAACTTTACTGTCCATCACTTGAGATTCAGCAAGTCAGTTATTTGACAGTTAAATACATTTCGGTCGAATTAGGACCGTCCATTGGAGGATGTTGGTGTATATGACATGCTACATCCTCTAAGATATATAATTTGTCCTTATTTATTGATTACGCTTATTGCCTATTTCATTGATCATAGTTGACCACTGCATTTATCAAGCCAGTTACGGCAAGTCTTGGAAGGAAGCAAGCTGCTGCTTTGACCAAGAAATAAAGCTAAGAGCGAGCAAACTAGTTAGAGTGTTTGCAGTATTCCTTTTATTACGGTAATCTAATAGCTGAAAAAGGGGGGGGGGGGGAACCAAGGAAATGAAAATACTTAAGAATATATGAAGCTACGCAGCTTGGCATGATGAAAGGAATTAACGTCCTTAGCAGAATTTCTTGTTCTATTTAGGCCTTAGGGACAATACGAAATTAAGCAGGATCAACATAAGCTCAAGATGGTCACATTCATCAGATCTCAGGAATCTGGATCAGCAATAATAGGCTCCAGGTGTCACCATTATTGATTGGGCCTTTGGAACCAGGATCGGCAATAATTGGCATCAAGGCCGACATTTCAAATCAGAAACTTGTTTATGCTGCATGGTTTAACACGAGAATAATTTTTACTACAAATTCTGTTCATAAACAGGACAAGAGTTTCATGAATGGAACACAAAATTGGGTTCTGCATTTGATTTATGACTCTGTTTCTTTATGATTCACTCGATTAATTCAACTAAATAAAGTGCACTGAGCGCAGCAGTTGAGGGAAGACTTTAGTTACCAGTTGACCTCTTCCTTTATTAAGCTTTTGGTGCTTACAATAATGTAAAAGTTAACCTCTTCCACTAGGAATGAGACTTGAGAGCGAGAGTCTGGTCCCCGATGCTTTAAAAGTTTCCTAGCTTTAGGATTCAATGCCGGCAGATTTCGAAAGTAGGGCAGCCGAAGAAGTGAATTTTTATATGTCCAGTCATAGCCCCTTACCCCCTAAATTAAGGGTTAAGACCCACTTCTCCGGGGGCCGGCCCGCTTTCCATAAAACCGGGACTGGTGGATCACAATAATGTGCCTTCACATGCCCTATTATTCGATCAACCGCATCGCTGTTAAAACAATTATAGTAATACAACTTCCCAGTCCCCTCCACCCCTGACCTTCTCTGAAGCGAACAGTAATAGAACCCGACAATATTTTATTGACTGCCCCAACATAATTCATGCACTATCATCATTATCACCGCCAGTATGCATCACTCTCCAACAAATAACGACTTTGATAATTAGATCCAGAAAACTTTTGTTACCCACTTTTATGACACCGGTGAACCAGGGTTCTGTTCCCGGGTTCCGTTCTGTTCTTCGCAATTATTGACCGTAGACGGGGATTTCCAATGTTGCACCAGACGAGCCTAAACTATATATTTGAAAAAAAAAAAAGAAAAAGAAAAAAGAAAGAGTAGAGAAGCTAAACAAAGAAGAAGGAAAACTGAAAAGTTGCAGTACCTGAAGCGAATTCGTTTGAGATCATTCCCTCCTTGAGGAAGCGAAACAAATGTGATAAGGACGCCAGGCTCGACCTGAGCGACCCATTCCTTGGGCTCGTCTTCTTCCATAAACACGGCCGACTCGGTCCGGCCGCTGACGGAGGCGGGCGTGGTTTCGCCGCTGGAAAGCACTTTCAATCTGGATTCCATTTCCCTCCCCCAGGGCCGCCTAGGCGTAGAATTGGAGCTACCAGCAGCAGCAGCTGCTCTAGCGTAGGAGAAGTGATAGCGGCCGGAGACAGAGCCGGGTTCGGAATCGGCGCAGGCATCCCCGCGGTTATTGTGGTGGTTGGAAGAGCCAGAACAGGGCTTGCAGTTCTTGTACGCACCCGAAGCCTTTATTGCAATGTCCTTGATCTAAAACACAATAATAATAATAATAATAATGCCTAATGATCAACAAATGTAAAACTGGAATGAAAATATTACTCCGTAGAGAATTATGTAGCAGAATGAAAAGGGCAGAGTAATGGATGGATTATGGATATCAGACTACAGTACTTGAGAAGTGAGGGCTTTGATGGCTTGTCTAGTGGAGGGAGTGGAAATAGCGGCGGCGGCGGCGTCGTCGTCATCATCATGCTGGGGTTGGGGAAGAGATGCGGCATTGAGGTGTTGGTTAGAGCAAGCTATACAAGTCAACATTATTTGCTGCTTGATTGGACCAGAGCTGCGCGCCGAGGAATTGAGAATGCAGAATAGTTTTGCCTTTTGGGTGGGGGATCTCCCCTAGTAAATCAAAGTTTAGCTTTCGCCCCCGGGGCCCGGCCGGGGGGAGGGGGGGGAATCTGAACAAAAGCAGGCAGCCAACTCGTGGTACCGGGGGAAAAAGTGGGTCAGCAAATCAATGGAGGAGTACATGTACTCGGGAATTTGATCAGGGCATGATCAAGTGCGAAGCAAAAAAGACGAGGACGACTCAAGTTATGTTATGAAGCATGAAGGGTCGGTTCAGAAAATTGCAGTAGAAGGTTGGAGAAGGAGAAGATTGGAGGGAGAGAGAGAGAGAGAGAGAGATGGCGGAGGCGTTAATTGCCGGGGAAGTAATATAGGAGTAATAGTAATACAAATAGAATAGGCGCGGAGATTAAGAGGGGAAGGGAGGGGGTGTTGGATGGATGGTCTGGGGCGATTAATTTAAGAGAAGAAGAAGAGTTGTTGGGTCAAGAAGACAGGAGAGAGAGAGGAGTGAGATTAGCATTAGACATATAGACAGTCTTAAGAGAGGTGGATCGAAGTTGCCGTTAGCTTCATTTGCTGCAGGATTCCTTCCATTTATTAATTATTATTCTATTCTCTGTCTGTCTACTCTCCCTCCATCACACTGCCTCGTTGGATATCATCTCATCATCTTTCATTAAAAATCTAAAACCGAATCAAATACTACTAGTTACTGGCGGTAGTAGCTAGCTGGGAGGAGTTCATCACAACTACATGTATACGCATAGAATTGTTTCATGTGATTCTTTTCTATCTGCTTCTACTTCCACGTTGTTGACTGCTTTAAAAGAAAAAAGAAAGAAATAATAATAATAAATCAGAGCTAATAATACTAATAATAATAAAGAAAGAAAGAAAAGAAGAAGAGAATGTGGAAGGGCGAAGATGCAGAGAGAGAGAGAGCAGTGTGAAAGAAAAGCTGTTGAGATTTGTGGGGTTTTGCATGCTCTCTCCGTGTGGTACTGGTACAGTAGGGAGCATTTCTGCAAGGTTAAGATCATAAGAGAGGCGGCAACGGGTTCTGCTGCAAGCCGCAAGTTTCGAGTTTTTCGCGTCCGTCTTTGTCACAGTTTGGGTTTGAGTTTCCGAGGGAAACACTTCACTCACTCGTGGGGGCATGGTGGACCTGCACCCACCAAATTACGTCTCCCTTCTCCCCTCCCTCCACTTGCGTAACTTCTATTTTCGAACCGAATTCGAGCCGCTTGCGGTCTAAAAAAAATAGAGCGCAACTCAAGTTGACGATTCAAATTTCGAGCTACTTGCGACCCAAAAATCGAGATTCAGACAATGAGCCTTTTGACTCGAGTTCAATCCTGTCTTTTCCTTGATCGAGTCAAGATTGAACCCTAATTTTTTGTTTTGCTGAGCTCGATTTCGGACTCAATTCAATACATAAACAAGTCAAGCTAAGTTTAATAATGTCAAAACTAAACTCGATTCGCTTCGTTTTGCAATCCTATCCCCAACCCCTATATAATTCTCTCCACAGATTAGAAGTAAAAAAATTTTTTTTTTTTGAGATTTAGGCATCATCTAACGTTTTACTAGTTATATATATGGGTTTGATTAAATTAAGGACTTCGTCGTCAACGGACGCTTTTTGAGAGGAATTTAATTTTTTTAATAAAAATAAAATTGGTTTACAAAGTCTCTACATGCAAGGAATGCATTAAATTTGAGTGTAGTTGCGAAATTTAGATATACTAAAGGACACCTATGAGAAAAGAAAATTATATTTTTAATGCATTTCTTAGAAACAATAATATAAAGTGCAAGTACGTACAAGAGCTTTATTTTTATTTTTTTGGGGGAAAGCTCCATTACACATTTTAATCCAAATTATGTATGGATTGGACAGTAGCATCGAGAACAGATTTTTCACTTGTTATTGTATTAAATTTAATCCCCTGCACCGAAAAGATTATTATTCAACAAAAAATGAGATATTAATTCTTTGAAAACAAATCACGAATCATGCGTTGTAAGTAATTTTTGGTTAAATGCGCTCTCTTTTTTAACTCAAAAATTTTTTTAAAAAAAATGCACACTTTTCTTTTTTCCTTTTCAAATGAAGGCAACCTCTATTGAAATTGAAATTGTAAATAACGACTAGGTAATGTTGCAGTTATCGATATGCAAGTTTATCAAAGCATGTTCTGAAGCATGACAAAAAAATTAATAATATCCTTGTGTAGAACTAGAATTAAGATTCTTTTTTTTTCCCCAAAGGATAGAAATACGATTCTTGTAACTTAATCGAGTACGGTCATTTTAATTTCCCAATTAATTAATATAGTAAGATATGTATTGAATGGTTCAACTTCATCAATTCTAGTAGCAAGATTTATACTATTATGCGTAGAGACAGTAAAAAATCAACCGTAACAAACACATTCTTCAATTCCATCAGGGCCAGGATCTTTTCCTCTTCTTTCCATGCAAAAGCAATTTGCTCTTCAGTCCCAAAAAAAAAAGATGGAGAACTGAAAAAAAAGTAAAAAGAAGAGAATAGCAAAATCAGGCACTTAATTTTAGCTAAATCTGAGATTTTTAGAGGGGAAGGAAAATGGCATGTACAAACGGCTCTTATAAATAGGCGGGGACTTCTCCGCTGAAGCTGCATACCTGAGGTGTCAGTCGTTACTACAAAAAATTCAATTGGATCACAAGCCTTAGTACCCTCTCGATCGAGAAGCAGATACAATGAACAACCGTCCTTTAATATAGCTCAAGGTACTCACTCACTCACGCCGTTCATCCACATTCCTTTAAATGATATTTTGAAAAAAAAAAAATTTCCAATAAAGGAGAGGTTGGATTTAAAAAACCAGGAAGGAAAAGGGAATTTTAAATTCAGAGCTTTTATGTCTCGAGATTTGAACCTTAGTCACTAGACAAATATCCTCTCGACCTTTTTAAAATAGTGTGAATACCCGTACGCACGGTACCTACATTATTAAAAAAAATTACAATGTATGGAGGAATTTAAAAATAGTAAAATATTATAATCACGGGCACATGAAAGTATATTTAAAAAAATGAAACTTTGTAACAATAGTTCAATATATGATAAAAACATTTTCATTATTTATAAACGATCATTTCGATGAAGGTTGGATCTTGAAAAAAAATAGAAATCTATATCATAAATTGAGCGACATAAGGGTCCAATTAAATATAATTGAATATTTAATTTGATAAGTAAATGAGATACTTACAGACATTTTGCCTTCGATTTGATAATCTTCTACGAAAGTGTGAACATTCTTCACACCAGTCAACTCTGAGTACGAACGCCAGTATTTGGGGTTTAATTAATTCTGTTGTTTTTTGTGGAGTTCGCACTATAAATGAGAATGCACGATTTTTCCATGAATTAATGGGCCTGTTTGGAACCTGAGTTTTTAGGGAGTTTGTCTAAAACTTTGGGCTTGTTTGGCACCCTAGTTTTTTACCAAGTTTTTTAGCTACTAGTTTTTTAACAACTTTTGCTACAGGAACCCCAAAAAATTTTTCAAAATTTTTTACCTACACACTTCAAAAATCTATACACAAAAAATTTCTCAAAAACTTTTCTTCCTCCCTCACCCAACCCACCACACCAGACACCGCCTCCACCACCTCTCCCGGCGCCGGTAACCTAAAAAAAATTTTTTTGAATTTTTGAGTCCCTCACCCTCAAAAATTTATTATATATATATATATATATATATATATATATATATATATATATATATATATATTATATATTTATAATATTATATATTTATTTAAACATATATTATATACCATATAAATTAATATTAATTTAAATATGTAATTATACATTTATATAAATATTATATACAATATATTTAATATATATAATACATATTATATATATTACACATTTATGTATATATATTTATGTATATTTATATACAATTATATTATGTATTATATATAATATAATACATTTATACATAATATTATATATTTATATATTTATAATATATTAATTTATATATTTATATAATATAAATTTATAATAATATACAATTATTACATTTGTAAATATATTTATATTATGTATTATATATAATATAATACATTTATATATTTTTAGATACCTATATAAATATATTTATTTATAAATGTATTATAAATGCATAAATATATATAAATATTTAAACAATAAAAATTATAAATTATAAACAATATTAATTATACATTTATACATTTATATTAATTATATTAATACAGTTATACATAATCATTATATATATTTATAAATTATAACTTATACATTTATATAATATTCATTTATAATATATACATTTATACATTTATAAATATATGTATATTATGTATTATATATAATATAATACATTTATATATTTATATATTTATATATAAATATATTTATTTATAAATATATTATAATGCATAAATGCATATAAATATTTAAACAATAAAAATTATAAATTATAAACAATATTAATTATACATTTATACATAATATTAATACATTTATACATTTATATTAATTATATTAATATATTTGTACATAATCATCATATACATTTATAAATTATAATTTATACATTTATATAATATTCATTTATAATTTATACATTTATATTAATTATACATTTATACATTTATAAATATATGTATATTACGTATTATATATAATATAATATATTTTTATATTTTTATATAAATATATAAATATATTTATTTCTAAATATTTATAAATGTATTATAAATGCATAAATGTTTAAAAATATAAAAATATAAAAATTATAAATTATAAAATACTCAAAAATATGTTTTAAAAATATCTCTAAAAATAATCCAAAAAACGTCTACAGTAACATTTCAAAAACTTCTACAAAAAAGTTTTTCACCTTACAAAAACTTCTACAAAATTTTTTCAAAAACTTCTACAGTGCACTACAATAAAGTTTTAGACAAACTCCCAAAAAACTCAGGTTCCAAACAGGCCATTTACTGTAGTGCACTGTAGAAGTTTTTGAAAAAATTTTGTAAAAATTTTTGTAAGGTGAAAAACTTTTTTGTAGAAGTTTTGTTAAGATAAAAAATTTTATAAAAGTTTTTGTAAAGTGAATTTATTTTCCTTTTCTTTTTTTCCTTTTTCTTTTCTTTCCTCTCTTTCTTCTTCTTCTTCTTCCTTCCCCCCCCGCCACCCCTCTCCTCCTTTTCCCCTTCTCCTCTCCTCTGCATTTCCCCCCCCCGCCTCCTTCTCCCGCCAGCCTCTCTGCACGCCACCCCCCCCCGCCACCCTGCCCCTTCCCCTCCCTCTGCACGCCACCCCCCCCCACCAGCCCTTCCCCCGTTGCCCCGCTAGCCCCTCTGCCCTGCCCCTTCCCCCTCCCCTCTGCACGCCACCCTCTCTGCCCCGCCACCCCCTTCCCTATTCCCCTGTTCCCCTATTCGTCCAGTTCTTAATCATTTGGAGGTCAGCACCTGCGGAGTAGCGGACCTCGCTCCATCCTTTGGAGATGAACGAGAAAGCCTTCTCCGCTGTAACGATTGAGCGGGACGGCGATGATGATGAAGACGACGTCATCCGGGCCTCCGGGGAGGCTTTCATATTAAGCATCATCTGGAATTTTGGAAATTTAATGCAAAATTTGATTTTTTTTTCCCGCCTGGGGGTTTGCATAGAATTGCAGGATTGAGGTGCTTATGACTTGTGAGAGAGAGCAGAGTTAAAGGAGCAAAGGAAAAAAGTTTTTTTTCCCGCCGTTGGCTAAGATTTTGGAAAAAAGTTTTTTGTGTATTATTTTAAAGTGTGTAGGTAAAAATTTTTGATAAGTTTTTTGGGGTTCCTGTAGCAAAAGTTGTTAAAAAACTAGTAGCTAAAAAACTTGGCCAAAAACTTCACTTCCAAACAAGCCCAATGTGTTGGTCGAACAATGCATCTTCATTTTTCTGACAATTAAAAGCATACATAGTTCAAAATTATCTTTTGTTTTAGACAGTTTGTAAATAATATTGTGTAAAAAAATATACATATAAATAATGTATACCTTTGTTTTTAAATCTCTAAGATAAGAAGCATCACAACGAAACATGAATCGTGCATGTCTGTCTTAAAGAGCGAAGTATAGTACCGAAACTTGTAAACAATGGAAACAACAATCATATTATAATATTTAAAATATTAGTAATAATTGAAATTACAATGAAAATGTCAATATTCAAAGAATAAATAGTACCGAAACTTCTATTTTGATACATAAGATTACTGTCCATAAGATTACACCTAAAAAGTATATTAATTTTTAAGTGCCATTGTCTCATATGTTCTCGTAAGCAATGTTTTGCAAGATTCTTAGGTGCCATTGTTTCATATGTTTTTGCAAGAATTATTTTTTGAATCTATTCCCTTTTTTTTTTTTTTTCTCTCTCTTTCGATCGTCAACATTTTTGTCTTGCACGATTCCAACTTTCCACAGCAAAACTACAGCATAATCCAGATTTAAGCAGCCCAAGGACATGTAATGCAGTAAGACACAAAATCTGCCAAAAAAAAAACCAAAACACAAAAAACGAACCTACCTGCTAGTAGTAATATCTTAATGTCAACCTTCAGAACATCTTATTTCAAAGAAACGAAGAAACTCCAAAGATCACAACTCATAATTAATAGTACTACTATTTTTCGTGATCAGAATTAATAGTACTACAACAATATGCTACCATATTAACAGTTTGGGGGGAAAACCTACATAAGTCACATCATGAGCACAGCTCATGATATGATCAGTTTTTCAGCCATAATGTGGGACGTAGTATATTTTTGGGAATTACTCATTATCTTTGTCAAATTTAAAGGGTTATAGTGAAGCACTAAATGCCTAAACTCACATAAAAGCCATAGTACCATACTTTGTTGATTGAGCCAGCAAGGATTAGTATGAAAACAACAATAATATTACAATGTTGAGAATATTATTAATAATTGAAAATACAATGAAAATATCAATATTAAAAGAATAAATAGTACCGAAACTTCTAATTTGATTGGCGCGGCGTTTGAATCGGTGTAGTCGAGATTTCATCCATCGTAGTTGATGTGAGATTTCTCTTTCGTCGAGGCAAAGTTGTTGAAACTGTTCCAATTCTTGTGCGGGACCGTTGTGGCGTCCTTTTCGTTTTGTTAGCAGATGTTTCCTCCTTTGCAATTTGCGAGTTTGAAATTTAGGCATTGTTGGCATGCCTGTAAACGGGCATGTTCCATTATGAAGTTAATTTGAGAGGTTCGAGAAGGAAGTTGATTGGAAGGGTTTTAAGAGTAATTCCCAAAAGTAGTACCAAGTATATTGTTGCTCCATGGCAGTTGGAAAAGATCATGTGCTATCTTCAATTCCGTTGAATTATGGGCTATCTTTATTCTCGTCAATGCTCTTCAACTCGCTGGGAAATGGGAATCAGTAGTGGTACCACAACCATCTGACGCACGGGTAAGTGGAAACAGTTTTAATGTAAGTGGAAGTTAAATTTTTGTTTGAGGGAACGTGGGAGTGTTAGAGTTTTAATGTAAGTGGAAGTTAAATTTTTGTTTGAGGGGACGTGGGAGTGTTAGTTGAAGTTAACTCCTTATTTGAAGGAAACGTGGGGATGTAATGTGCCCATGATATTTTTTACAAAATAAGATAAATGTGAAATGCTAGGAAAATAGGGTTGAGAGTGGGAAAGGTTGTGGAGGCTTGTTCCTAAAAATCCCTTCTCAAATTTATATAGATATAGATTTATATAGATATAGATGATACACATGCATTGTTATTCATCACATTTTTAATGTATTCTGGTTCTATGTATATATGTGTGTGTTTTGTTCTGATGTGAACTGGGGAGTTCTTTTCTAAGGTCCTTTTAGAAGGAGAACTGTTGTATGGCGAAAAACCTTGGATAGGACATCAAAATTAATGCTTCAGGTCAGTTGCAGAATTAAGGGTGGGGACGGATGCAAGTCTGCCACCACAGCCCCCCAAAAAAAAAAAAGTCTGAATTCGTGTATTTATTGACAATTAATTCATTATTACGTGAATTTTGAGAAAATTAACATTTTATCACCTGAAAGTTGCTTACCCGAAATCGAGGGAATCTCTAATAGCTAGTTTGGGAGGATGGAAATGAAAAGAAAAAAAAGGTTTTGAAGGAATAAGAAAATTTTTCCATCGTTTGGGAGTTAAAATGAGAAGGAAAAGAAAAGAATAGGAAAGATTCCATTGCCCTCAATCTTTTGGAAAACTTTCCGCTCAAAGGAAAGGAACGGACAGAAGTTTAAGTAAATTTTTTAATATGACCAAATTACCCTTAAAATCCTATACAAAATATTTTAATACCCTATGAATCCCTCTCACATTTGTTTATAGAAAGGGCATATTTGTAAAATAATTTGTTTAAGTATCTTTTCCTTTCCTTTGCATTCAACTCCCAAACAAAAGAAAATTACTCACTTTCTTTTCTTTTTTAAAACTCCCAAACAACTTAGATAGAAACTTTGATCCTTTCTTTTCTTTTCTAACTTATCATTTCTTTTCTTTTCTTTTCATTTCCATCCTCCCAAACTAGCTATAAGAAAATAACACAACTATTTATCTCTTTAAGTTCCTTACCTTACTGGTTGCAACAAACTACCAATCCAACAATAAGCACAAGCCTGCAACTAATCTAAGCTCTTTTAAGATTGCAGTGAATGCCAAATCACCTCCAGTGACAAAACTTATATACAAAACGAAGCGCAAACAGCATATACAGCTACCACAAATGTTCACATGCTAAATCAAATTGAAGAGGAACTCTTTCAAGCATCTGAAAGAGGTATCCTGTATCGATCTGCTAATTTCTTGGCAGTATTGTCAGATAGGACACCATCTATCAACTCATATTTCTTATAGTGCGCTTTCAAGGTCTCCAGCTGCTGGTTTGCAAGGTTTTCCTCCTCCTTGAGTTGATGCTGCTTCAAGGAAATGCCACAAAAGAAAAAAAAAAGTATTATTCAATTGGACTAATGGAACAAAGTGGGCTTAAAATTGAAGACTGTAATACGTGTCAGCTCAATGTAGTACAAGGATAAGAACATTTATCAAAAAGGCAATAACATAAGAATCTTACATTGAGCAGGAATTCGGTTTCAGCAGCATGCTTTCTGGTCAAAACCTTAATCTTCCTGGCAACCTCAAAATCAGGATCTTCGTGGTCCAGCCACTTGTAAGTGATCTTCCTGCCAGGTTTCTTTGGACGACTGTCAAACATTTCTACTTCTGCAGCGCATGCTCTGACAGGTCTTGGCATCCCAAGAACCATAAAAGGGGAATCAGCAATCTCAGCAATGATCGCAGAGGCCTGATTCAGAGTTTCCATCTCCACCAAAGCAGCTCGTGGGAGGCTCTGTGGGTTGATATAGTTGGGAATGAATTGGACATTTACGACATTGACAAATTGATCCAAAGCGGCTTTCAGAACATTCTCTGTCACCTGAGGTGACAGGTTATCCATATAGACTGTTCTTCTCACCCTTTCTTCAAACGCCGCATATTCTTCAGCTGAAGCTGCCATCAGTAATCTTCTCCTATTAAAACAGTGTTAAAAACAAGTCAGACTATGCTTAAGGCATATAATAGTGAAATCTGGACAACAGGAAAAAACAAAAACCATCATCCACACACCAAATGCACATGGCATCATCTATTATCTATTGATCTAATTTAATATTATTATCTTGCAGTAACATCAGCCCCTGCAGCTAAACTAGAATAACAACATCAACAGCCAATAACTTCACATTCCATGAAGCTAGCTAGAAAAAGGTTTGATAATTTACATCCACAACACTCAATATCTTTTTTTTTTTAAGAGTTGTTCCACTATGGTGGGTTCCCTTGAAGCATTAAAAGTTAATACTCTTCCACAAAAGTGGTTACCTATGTAATTTTTCTTCCAGCAAATTGAAATATGAAAATAGTAATAAGAAACAATATTGCATAAGAACCCAATAAAGTTATCAATGTCATACGTGCTCATTGACAAGCAGCAATCTGAACAGCCAAAACTATTGTCATCAAATGATGGATGTTATCATGGGCTTCACTTAACCTTTGGCATGTTAACTAAGCCAAACCCCTTCAACCAGCTTAGTCTTCTATTATCAGAGCAATTTTGTCATTTGGCAACAGAAGTAATGTCTCCAATAAAACCATAAAAAATTGACACTAGTTCTTACTGATTAAGAAGCAGGTTGAAACAATATATATGAATCTCCTTCTGACATTATCTGGAAAAATCTTATTCAGCAGAAAGCAAAAAAGAATAACTTATGCTTTAAGCTTGGTATAAATTTCTATTCACAGAAAGTCAAAAGGAAAAGAACAGAAGTACATTTCCTGTAAATTCTAATATTAAAAATCTGTATTAGGCAGGTAGCTATGTAGCTTCAAAAGAAAAAGGAAAGAAAAGAGGATAATTTGCCTAGTCAAGCACTAGTTCCCAAGTGAAGGAGAATTCATTTCTGAATACCACAGGGTATGATCGAATCAACATTTCTTTTGAGTTCCTGTGCAGCTGAAATCATCTCCACATTGATTATATTAACAAGCATTGAACCTACAATCCAGAACCTGACTACTTCCTTTTCTTTTTGGGAGGGTCGGGGGAGGGTGTTCCTTTTCAATCATTTCAAAAAATATCAGCTAAACACCAGGAAACATGCAGAAAGCAAAAAAGTGCACAAGCAAAGTCTCCAGCAGAAAAAATATTCTATTGAATGCTTTGCAGTCAGTTCGAATCTAGCAATAGAATTGTACTTATTACAAGACTCTAATTATGTCAAGCATCATTCACTCCTTGTCAAGTTCCGCAAAAAATACAAAAACCTGACTATACGTACTTGACACTAACTGGACATGAATGTAGACTTTTGCTTCTTATCTTAACAATCGTCTTAAATCTATCAACAGAGTCCATGCCTAACTTGAATACAGTAAGAAATTAGCATTTTGAATTGTTGAAAGAATACACACACACACACAAAGACACATAAACGGTGTATACTCATTAATTAACTAAAGTAGAAGAACATTTAGGACAGCATAATCTTCACATTCAATATAGTAGCAAATTCCCAGCTCATTCAGCAGCAAATGTTCAAGTAAAACAGCTCGAGCTCAACTTCATTTGTTTGAGTACTTCAAAGTTCAGCTTGAGCTCATAAGCCACAAACTTGACTCGACTTCGCTTTATTACACTGCTGTTCTTAATGAAACACCTGTTAACACTTTGTGATATAAAAGACACTATAAATTCACAAGGAGCTTCTCCTTGTAATGTCAGACAAGAGAATAGCAGCAACTCATAAGCTTACACTAATTGTTCAAGTCATGGCGTTGCAATTTTTATAGGTTTTCAAGTCGACCACCTTAAAAGGCAGCTCCCACCAGTAAATGGTTAATTTGAAGATATCTAAAGTATTAAACCACTCAGGAAATGCAAGACCAACGAACCAACATTAGAAGCAAAGATAGTCTCTCAGCTATTCATTTGAGTCTAATACTGGCTGAAAATCATTGTAAACACATAGAATAAATGTAACAGATATAATCATTAGAACTGTAATCAAATCAGAAGGAATACTTTGGATTACACAAAAATAATCTAATCCTATCTATGGTTCAAAGACTAGTCCGAGCCGGAGTTTGTCACAGGAACTTGGCTGGCCGTTCGGGGGAACGATACCGTACAAGTCGGAGACTCCATAATCAGCAGTGACTCCAAAAAAAAAAAGCCCAATCTCAAAAACCTTTATGCTTTAATAACATTAATGACAACAAAATGACGATCCCCCGAGAACATCACGAAAAGAATTGATGACTAAAATGCATTGGACAAAATCAATTTGAAATAAACAAACCAAAAATAAGAATAAGATGCTAATTTTCACATACCTATTTCTCCTCAAAAAGCCTATAAACGAACAGCGGAGGGGAGGATTGTGTTGGTGTGAGGAGACGGAAGGTGGCCGCAGGGTTCGAGTGCGGTGCGAATTGGGATTGGGGCAGTGGGCTTGTTGTTTAAAGAAGGTTGTCAAAAAGGCATTTTGCTGGGCTTCCGGTTAGGTGGGCTTAGTACTGATTTTTTTTTTTTTTTTTGGGATCTTTTTAAAGTACCCTTTTTTAAAAAAAAAAATCTTCTATTGTACTTACCAACTACCCTGTTAAATTGCATATTATTATAGTTAATGATTTTATAATGTTGTAAAGACAATCTCTTTTTCTTTTTCTCTTGCAATGAGGGTGGGATTTGAATCCTGGACCATTAGACCAAGCTCACCTCAAAGTTGTAAAGAGAACTAAAAACATATAACATTTTGGCGTATGTATAAAACATTTGTTTGATCTAAACATTTGTATTTGCTCTTGTATATGCTCTAAACATTTGTTTGATCCAAACATTCCTCTTGTATATGCTCCCATGGGCAGGACTCAAGTGGTGTTGTGGGCATTTTTAACATGAATTTTAAACTCTCCTGCGTGTGGTATCATACTATTAATGAATGAGAAATTTTTGAACTGGTAGATTTCGGTGAATCTGCCATTGTTATAAGACTTTGATTGGAGGTGGCCCAAGTTAAAATTTATTATGCTCCGCTGCTGCTTCGGGTCTTCATATATTTCTTCATGTTGGATTCAGTTGAGAGGAAACTTGCCTAGTTTATCTGGATGCATATTTTATTGTCTTTCTCGCCTACTCTTCCAGATTATATCGATTGTAAACAGGTCCTTTGGGGTTGTTATTCCCTATTATTGATGAAACGGACTGTTTTCTGTCTTCTTTTGTTTTCGTTCATGAGGAATTTTGTCTGTGTTTGTAGAATTCTTTTCCAGGTTTTCTTGAGTGCATCTGAAAGAGGAGATAATATATGGGTCCAGGTTTACTGTCGGATGGCGCTCTGAATTTAATTTTGTCAGGGCAGATACTATACTGTAAACAGCGTTCCAAGCTCCTGTTACTCGTTTACTTTAGTGGCTCATGGTTTTACAATTTTTTTTTTTTTTGGTAGGAAAGACTTGCATAAAATAATAAGGAAAGGTTACAACTTAGCAATGTATCTGGGGAAACAGACTCCCCTCAAATCATCAGACAAAATAGATCCTAAACTGGGCGGACAGGAATCTAGTAGTGAAAAGGGACACAAAAGCTTTTCACCCAACTTTGCTAGTGCATCTGCTCCTCTATTCGCCTCTCTGTAGATGTGCTTTACTTGCACTTGCTGGAAATTAGAGAGAAGGTGCCTGCAATCATTTAAGATAGGAGCAAGGTCATGACCTTCTGGAATTGAATTGTTTAGCATGTTAAGGACAACTTCACAATCGCATTCAACAATCAGACATTGAGTATTCAATGATCTTGCGATTTCGAGTCCATCTCTGATGGCCCAACATTCTGCAATCAGGTTGTTGGTGTGGCCGAGCTTTCGAATCGACCCTTTAATCCAAGTACCAAGATGGTCTCGTATCAGGGTCCCGCATCCCCCGAGACCAGGGTTGGGTGAGCAGGATCCATCAGAATTCAATTTAAGCCATCCTCTGGGTGGTGGAGTCCATCCAATGAGGACCTGGCTTTTGGGTAGGGGAAGGGGAGAGCGGCTTGGACCAATTGCGACAAATTCAGCAGCAAGATTTAGAGCCTGAATGTGAGGAAATTTCCATGCTCTAATAGGTTCGAGCAAAAGTTTGTTTCTATTGTTCCAGAGAACCCAACAAGAGAAAGCAAGAATAACGTTCCAAGAAATGGAACCGTAAGGGGAGGGGGAGGAGTTTTTGCAGTTCTGAAGGAGCCAAATGTTGAAAGGTTGCCAAGGGTGGTGAAGGAAGGGGGCCTGGATTTTATCCCAGAGTTCTAAGGCTCGGGGACATCCTCTCACCACATGTTCAGCATCTTCTGAGAAATGGTTACAGAAAGAACAAGAGGTGTCAGGGATGATATGTCGATCGAAGAGGTGTTGCTTGGTGGGAATCCTTTGTTGAGCTAACAACCAAATGAAGTGTTTAATTTTTGTGGGGACGTGCAGAGACCAGATCCACGAGAGATTAGGCACGGTTGGGTCTGGGTATTTTTGGAGAAAAGCTAGGGAGTAGGCAGATTTGAAGGAGAAGCTACCATTAAGGGAATGCCCCCATCTAATGGTATCGGGAGTGGGGTTGTAATTCTGCCGTGGGATGGCAGAAATCCTTTGGCTAAGATCCTGGGGAAGCACCATAGATAAGGCTTCCAGATTCCAGTCATCAAGGGAATTGAATAGGTCCTTCACAAGCATGGAGTGGTCTTCCAAGGTCAAAGGCCCTTGGATCAAGGATCTGAGGGTACCTTGGGGGAGCCATTTATCATGCCAAACAAGTGTATTTGCTCCACTTTTGATAACTTTAGAGCTGCCAGCTTTGAACAAGGGGAGGCCTTGTTGAATGCATTTGAAATTTACCGAGCCTCTGCATCTAACAGGATTCCAATCAAGGAATGGGGTGGAATGGAATTTGGGAAGGTATTTGCGGGAAATGATTTGTGCCCAAGGCTTCTTGGTTTCTGTTTGAAGCTGCCAACAGAATTTTGCCATTGAAGCCTTATTAATTAAGGCAGTTTGCTTGACTCCCAATCCTCCCAGGTCATTAGGTTTGGTAATATTTTTCCAGGAGACCAGGTGAAGCTTCCTTTTTTGGGGAGTAGAGCCCCAAAGGAAGTTTCTTTGCTCCTTGTCAATGTCATTACAGAGAGAGGCAGGTAGGGGGTGCATTGGGAGTAGAAAACAGGAATGACAGCAGTAGTTTGCTGGATTATGGCTTTCCTTCCAGCAAAAGAGAGGAGGCTTGCCTTCCATCCTGCGAGTTTTTTTTTAATCTTGTCTAAAATGAAATTTAGCTGGTTCCTGCTAACCCTATCCCCGGAGATGGGGAAACCAAGATATTTTCCAAACTCATGAGATTCAGAAAAGCCTAAATGATTGACTGTAGACAGTATAAGATCCAGGGGGGTATTAGGAGAGAAGAGAATTTTTGATTTCTGACGATTGATTGATAAGCCAGATCGAAGGGAAAAATCTTCCAGGATGTTGTGGATGGAAAGAATGGATACTGGGTTGGTTTCAGCAAACAAGGTAATGTCATCAGCAAAAATGCAGTGAGATAATAGGGGAGTGTTGGGACCAAAAGATAGAGGCTTCCATCTCTTTTCAGAGATAGCTTTGTTTATGGATAAAGAGAGATATTCCATGCACATAATAAATAAATAAGGGGAGATGGAATCTCCTTGCCTAATACCCCTTGAAGGAGAGATCCAATCAATAGGCTTACCATTATGAATGACAGCAAGCCTAGGAGAGGAAATGCATTGGAGGATAACTTGAGTGAGAGCTTCAGGGATGCCAAAGAAGACCAGGGTTTCCCTAATGAAGTGCCACTCAAGTTTGTCAAAAGCCTTTTCAAGATCAATTTTTATAGCACAAAGACTCTTTGTGCCTTTTTTTGATTTAATCTTGAAAATGGCTTCCTGAACTAATTTGACATTATCGGAGCAGCTCCTTCCAGGCAGGAAACTGGATTGAAAAGGGGAGATAACCTTAGCCAGGTAAGGTCTGAGTCTGTTTACAATCACTTTAGAGAGGATCTTGTAAAGTGAGTTGCACAGACTAATAGGCCTAAAATTTTGAATGAGTTCAGGGCAATCAGTTTTGGGGATTAAGCAAATGAAAGTATCATTAATACCTTGAGGAAAAGGTAAATGGTTGAAAGCATCATGGATAAACTGAACAATAGAGTTTTCCAGTAGGGTCCAGAATTTTTGGTAGAAGAAGGCGTGGAGTCCATCTGGTCCCGGAGCCTTAAAGGGCTTGAAATCTAAGCAGGCTTTCCTGATTTCTTGGCTGGAAGGGATACGGCTAAAAAGTTGGGTTTCACTAGGCGAGAGGGTAAGATGGGGTGCAGGAAATGGTTCAGGGTAGAGGCTGACTTCAACAAAGTCAGAGGTGAAAAGGTTGGTGAAAAAAGAGTAGATGTGACGTTTGATAGCAAGATCTTCAGTGATCCAGTTACCAACAAGGTCTCGAATAGCAAGAATTCGGTTTGTTTTCCTCTGCACAATGGTTGTGGTCTGCAGAAATTTAACATTCAGGTCATCCCAGATGAGATGATCAGTTCTTGACTTAAGAAGCCAAATGTCTTTTTCCATCCTTAAAGTGTCTTCCAGCTGGGCTGTGAGAGAGCTTTCCAAAGTGGATAGAAAGACGGAAGGGTGATATTGAAGAGATTTTTGGATCCCTACTAGTCTATTGAGGATTTTCTTTTTTTTGTGGAAGATGTTTTCAAAAGAGACTCTACTCCAAACCCTGGTGGCTTCAGTGAAACATTTAATAGACTCAGTAATAGGGCTTCGAGGGGAAGACCAGTTATTTCTGATGATATCCGGAAAAGAAGGGTGAGAAAGCCAAAATTTTTCCAAACGGAAAGGCTTAAAAGAAAGGTCTGGAGGTTGAGGATAGAGGTTGACTATGAGTGGGCAGTGGTCAGATCTAGTGCGGGCTAGGTGCTGGATCGACGCTTCAGGAAAAAGGTTTCTCCACAAAGGGTCGCAGAAGGCTCTATCTAATCTTTCATAGATGAAAGAATTATTTTTCTTACAAACCCAAGTGAATCTTGGGCCCACAAAGCCCATATCTAAGAGATTACACGCTTCAATCACAGAGCAGAAAGCTGAGGCTCTAGATCTGTTAATAGGGTTACCTCCTAATTTATCTTGTTGAGCAAGCAGTTCATTAAAGTCACCAATACACATCCAAGGCAAATTATTTAAGGAAGACAGATTTTTAAGGTGCTCCCATAGAAGCAAGCGTTCCTCGAGTCTAGGACTAGCATAAATGCAACT